GAGAGAGAGAGAGATGCTTACAAAGTTCAAACATTTAAAATTAGTTTGATGTTTTATTGGGGTTATTAACCATATAAATGCAACTGACAATATAATGTATAGATGCTATTGCTCGCATACATATAAACGTGTGACATAACTTTCTCTTTGTTATTGTCAACTTTTTGGTTACATGGCATGAAAATCATTGTCTGGCTGTTACATTTGCTGATTAGGTAGCATTTTACTAAATAGTGGAATGAAATATAGCACTATCCTATACAATATTCCTGCTGCAGAAATCTGCCATAAGATTTATAGTATCTGTTTTGCCAGGTTTAAAGGTAATAGCAACAGCTACACAATGTAGTTCTTAACATCCAGTTGTGTTTCAAATGGAAGACATGAGCCTGCACATTATTTACAAAGTCAAAATATTAAGTGACTACAGTGACTTCCACTGCACAATTTCTCAAATGTTTACATGCACAGTGTATATTAAAAAATTGCTCCATAAATTACTTTATGTATTTTTGTGTGCTTTTGTCTTTATGGCATATATGCATGTATATATACACACATGACTGTGTGCAGATATATTAAAAACTTAAATATAATCTGACAGTGCTCTGTAATGGTGCCCAAGAGCATGCTATTGAATGAGACCTGGCTGAATTTCTTTCAAAACAGCCTATCACCCAAACTGTATAAATAATTGGATGGAACAAATAATGATAATTCTCTGAGAGTTTTGGCATAGTGGAGTTTCTCTGTACTCTGACATCACCAATGCCACAGTGACAGAATGCATTATGATGTGACACAGTTCAACATGAATTGATGTCTCTAGTAAACTCTGTTCTCTTGACCTATACTCCCTCGTTTAGGGTGTCTATCCTGCAGTGAGAGATCTGGTTACCCCTTGTGTAGACAGATCCATGCTCGCTCCAATTTAGCTAGTGTGGCCAACAATTGCAGTGAAGGTATAGCAGAGTGGGCTCTACGAGCTTGTCCATCTCACACTGTTTTCATTTTTATTGTAACTTTGTAACTGTATTATTTGATTCTCATAGCATTGTGGGATACAGTTTGCATGAAGACATGATACAAAATCAAACTCTATAGAATTATATACAAGCAAAGATTTCTGCTCGAATATTCTGAAATTTCCTCAAGGCACGACAAACATTTCCATTCAGGCTGCATACTAACATTGCCCTAATTCCTTCAAGGGAAGCTGCCATTCAAAACTTGGATCAGCAAATTATCCCTAATTTACACTCCTCAGCCTGCCAAAGACTCAAGAAGGGCAATTATCTTCAAAATGTGAGTGGGTGAAGCAGCATAAAAGGTTTATAAAAACAGAAACCACCCAAACTGTATAGAAAAAAAATCATGGAATGTTTATAATGCTGATATAAAATAAACACAGTACAGTGTGGGCAAAGGGAAAGAAAAACGGATCTAAAATGTAGGTTACTTGCACTTTCTCTAAAGGAAGATGAAATAAAATGACCTCTGAGACTCCATCTACAGTCAGCAAGACTCTATGCAGACGTGATTGCTGCCAAAATCAGTTGCTTCTTGATTTACACTTCTGCAGTCTCATAGGTTACAGTAGCTACTGTTACTCTCGGGTTGTTGTTTTGTCTAAAAATACTGTTTCTAAATTCCTCTGGGTCTTTACATACATTAAACTGTAGCTCTGTATTTTTCCAGTTCTGTCCATCTGTTACGTGCAACCAATGAAGTAAGGTAAAGATCATGATGCTCAGGTTTTGTTTACTTGTAAGATTTGGTCATGGCGAGACACCACAAAACTCAAGTAGTCCCAGTGTTACTTGATCAGATTTTCAGCATAGTATACTGTGAACCTTCTCACAAGCTGTCTATATAGTAGTTACAAAAACAACAAGGAGTCTGGTGGCACCTTAAAGACTAACAGATTTATTTGGGCATAAGCTTTCGTGAGTAAAAACCTCACTTCTTCGGATGCAACTATATAGTAGTTGCCACTTTCCACTTTTAGACACTAAAGGTTAATACCTCCAGCTTTCCTTCCCTCTTTCAGAAAGGCTTCTCCTTGCTGCTTGCAAAGCACACTGTCTAAGAGCCCCCTGCACGTACAAACACACAGCTCTATGCCAGCACTGACACAAAATCATTGAGCTGGAAAAGCACTGTACATAATGACATGTAAAAGGATACACCAAGCATTTCGCTTTGCTTCTAGAATTCCTATACTCTGTGCTGCCTCACCATATGTCTTTTAGAACTGAAGTCAGAAGTGTCAACAGGAGGATAGAGTTGGCCTGGGAGCAAATTGCTCCAGTTTGAAAAGGCTGCATATTGTAGAACTGTTGGAAATGCTGATTTAAAAGTAAAGCAAACTGCATACCCAGTGTCAGAATAGTGCCACTTTAAATTCATGGAAGTAACCTGAAAAATGTGTTTCTGCACTTTATTCATTTCAGCAATGTGTACTGCAAGTATTGCATGGTATTTGATTATGTTGTACTGTCTGTGCGTCAACAGAATGTATATCACATCCCTCCTGCAATTGTTATCAAGAGCTGAAAATGTAACTCTCCTTGTCCCTTATATTCAAATGAAAGTATTGCATTACATGTATTCCTGCTAATACACAATTCAGCAAAACAGGTAAGAGTCTCTCTCTCTGTCTCAAATATTTTCTGCTCTTTAGTAAGCTAAAAGTATTGTATAAATAGAATTGGCCTATGGTAATTCAATACACCTTGACATAAAATCAGGAAGCAAAGTTGAAACCATGAAAGGGAAAAGAAGAGGGTGAGTTACTATTAGACTTAAGGCCAAATGTGTGCTTCATTGGAGTCCAGCTAACACCCAAAAAGAAATTAATATTTATAAAATAAAAATGCATCTTTTAAAAATCCAAATGTTGGACTCCTGGAAGTGAATAGTTATGGAATCAGCCTGTTCCTCAATGACACATAATCCTTCAGCACTTACTAATATCCCACCTAACTTATATGGCTCATCCAACCTTAACATTGTTTCCTAAAATGTGGAAAAATATACACAAAGGTCAAAATAAATTTCTAGGAGATTATAAAATGTATTTGCTATTCAAGGGATCAATTTCTAGTATATTAAAATACTAATATCTACACCTCTACCTCGATATAACGCTGTCCTCGGGAGCCAAAAAATCTTACCGTGTTATAGGTGAAACTGCGTTATATCAAACTTGCTTTGATCCACCGGAGTGCGCAGCCCCATCACCCCGGAACACTGCTTTACCGCGTTATATCTGAATTCATGTTATATCGGGTTGCGTTATATTGGGGTAGAGGTGTACTATGTTAGAAGAAAGCTACCTATGTTAGCTGCTACACATTATAGTTAAAAATAGACATTTGAAAGGTCTCTACTGGAGCTGTGTGAGTAACTGATTTTTCAGTTTGGTAGCCAAACCAGGAAAAAAATTGTTTTGGGTCAAACAAAACCTTTTGTTTATCTCCAAATGATACATTTCATTTTGTTCTCAGGTTTTTCACTTTTTTAAAAATAAAACTGCACTAAAATTCAAAACAAAAAGTTATTTCCAATCAACAAATAGAAACATTTAATTTTTGTTTCAACATTTTCAAACTTTTCATTTTTCTGGAATTTTTGTTCCCCCCCCTGCATTTTTTTGGCATAATGTGGGGATGGGGAGTTGCACGAAAAATGTTGCCCAGCTCTAGTCTGCATATGGTTATATAACCCTATACCACGACACAATCGACACACTTCATAACTCCAAAGCAGCTCAATTATCCAATTCTATTAATAAAGCATTATTCTACTCAGTGAACACATGACATTCAGGAACCCTTGCACTCTATTCCTTTTGAAATCTTATACAATCATATTTATTCATTGTTTAATACAGATTTCAAAAGGAACAAGAGTCACTGGTTATGGCTCACATGCACAAGACTCTCCTGCCCTCTCATTACTCATTTCCAGGCCACTGACACCTCATATCTCATTTCCCAGATCCACCACTCCACCTTCTTATTTCAAGGTCTCTCTGACTCTTTTCTCACCACTCCCAAGCCCACCATACCTAGTGATTTCAGGTCACATAGGCTACCCACCTATCC